CCCCCCCCCCCCCCCCGGCGCTTTTTTTTTTTTTTTTTTTTTTTGGCAACTGGCTTATACAGCATTAATATTCTTGTATGAAGATGTTCACCATTCTTCCCCAGCAGAAAAAACAACCAGAGTGCCGGTCAACCATGATACACCAGAAAGTACTTTCTTACCCATGTAGTTAGTGTTTCATATGCTGAACTTGCAGTTGTTTTAATTATTTTTTTTCTTTTTCCCTCCTCAGTTCTGACCCTTAGTGTGTTTAGAGATGAGATTAAGAATGCAATTCTCCTGATGCTCTAACGTTTACAATGCCTTGTTATTTGAGCCACGTAAACGTTCCTAGCATTAGCAGTGAGATGGTCCGTGAAATGAATTTTGCAGTTCAGCTTGAAAACCTGTATTTCCCTCCAGCTACTGTGCTTCCTTCCTGGGATTTGCAAGTAATGCTGAGTATTAATCTCTCCCCAGCCCCTTACAAGAGACTACTTGTCCTCGCAGTAATGTACTGTGTCCACTGTTCTGATGGATGCTGGGTTCTGCTTCATTCCTCTCAAATACAGGAGCAGGTGTCTGCTTTTTCTTGTGCTAAAATACTGTTTAATTTCTTTTCTGGTGTTTATAGGCACCCATGTCCCCTTCCAGTTCCTATCCCACGCTATCCTAGGGAAGTCCAGAATATGTGTTTTAACGTGAGGTCTGCTGCTAAGCCCAGTCCTCACTGAGGGAATGTGGTTATGGACTGTTGTTTGTTTGCTTTTTAAAAACATCCAAGATGCGTTTCCCCTAATTTGTTTGTGTAAAGGAGCAGTGCTTAATGCAGAACAGGCCTTTATGCAAGCCTCCTATTAGAAAGAATCATCCAGTAAAGTTGCAAGGAGGAGAGTCCCTTGGCTCTGTGTAATGGTACATGTTATCTGGACATGACTGCTGCTGCTTCCCCTGAAGTCAGCATAGATAAGACGAATGACACTGTCACTCCCTTAAAACAAAAACTGTGTTCACGTAGGGCCCAGAAGTTTCCTTGCTGTTTGAACTTCCTAATACTAACACTGGATTTCGAAGCAAGACTTGGTTCAAATGATTTCCAAGGTGCTTTGGTAAACAAAAATAGATCTAGTCAGAACGTTAGTGTGATGAAATGTGAAACTAAAGGTTGTTTGCCTAGTAAAAGAACTCTTTTTATATAATACTGTTGTTTATTATTCACAATATAGGCCCATAAAAAGTTATCGTTAAGTAGTCTGGGTTAACATTGTCTTTAACATTATCACAACTGTGGGTTGTTTTTTTTTTTTGCAGGTACTATTTGCAATAAACTGCATTTGCAAAAGGTTAACGATTTCGTGTTATCTCCGGGACCACAGCCAACCAAGGTATTTCTGATGTTCGCTCACAATTTGATTCTTGATTTCCTTCAAAATTATGACATTGTTAGTACAGTGTATGAGCATAGACCGCATGCTACTGAAAAGTGTCATCCGCTATGTGATCTGATGGCTTTATTTTAGGTTGCTGTGTATGTTCCGGGCAGCAAAGGTGCACCATCATTTGTAAGACTCTATCAGTATCCCAACTTTGGTGGTCCTCAATCTGCATTGGCCAATAAAAGTTTCTTTAAGGCTGACAAGGTGACAATGTTATGGAACAAAAAAGGTATAACAGCTATATATTTAATTCCTTATGTTCTGCAAATTTTGAATTTAATTACTTTGTTTACCATGTGGGTTTTGCATATCATTTGCATTTGTAGATAAATACTAAAGATAGCCATTAATACTGATGCAATGCCAAGGTTACAGTTCTGAATATTCTGAAGTGCTCATAACTTTCCCGTATTGACTTGGATGATTTTGTGTATAGTAATTCAGGATATTCAACATGTTTGCAAATTTTGCAATTGATTTGCAAGTTCAGATTGAGTTTTGTGATGGTAGCATGTTTAATATGTAGACATAAGACTATATCAGAGCACAAAATGTTCTTACTTTCCTGTGAAATTGTATTTATGCAGACATATAACAAAAGGGATGACTTGCACAATCCTCTGTGTTTGCTGTTTGTGAACAATGGTGGTAGTTTCAGAGTAGTGTTGAAACTGTTTTACTTCAACCTGCACTGTTTAGACTACAGGGAAGGTATTATGTAACTTTATGCCCACATGTGATTTTTACAGGTTTGCATAAAACAGGTGTACGTACAAAAGCTGTAGATGAAACGTTTTATTTGAGGACTGATCAAGACGCTTGCTTTCTGCCTTAGTCAGATGAAAAGCCTAAGACACTCTTGCTACTGTTGAAAATAATAAAACATCTTTTTATGCCTGAATCGCGTGTTCACTTTCTTATAATTGAACAGTGAATGAATAACTGTGCTATCCAGGCTTAGCATATGCTCTTCATCCAAAAAAAGAAGATAATAGTTCTGTTTGGGTTAACGTTTAGGAAACTTCAGTTGAGAGGAGAATGATAAACAGCACTGTTATGCAAGCAACTTTAACTGCAGAATTCGCAGTCAAACTAATTTTCTCTTTGTGCACGGTAGTTTGTGAAATAGTTTCTGTGATTTGAAATAATTGTGTTGAACTAACTGAATGTCTATTCCGTTAGCCACTGCTGTGCTAGTAATAGCTAGTACAGAAGTTGATAAATCAGGAGCTTCATACTATGGAGAGCAAACTCTGCACTACATTGCAACAAATGGAGAAAGTGCAGTTGTACAACTACGTAAGTACCTTTCAGGCATTTTCATTGTATTGCAGCACTTAATAGTGGGAACTGCTTTTTCATCAATTTGGTTTGGTGTATGCTTTTTGGCTGATGCAATGAAGTACTCTGATTTTTAAAAGAAAACCAAAAAATTCGGAGGAAAGATTTTTTTTTTTTTTTGCTGTAGTGTGCTCTGTTTTTAATGGTTATATTATATTGCTGTAGTTGGTATCCTCACTTTTGTAATGTCAGTGGCGGAGAGCACCTGCTTTCATTAAAACACACGAATAATTGGCTTGGGTGGATGTTTGCCTGTACAGGAAGGGAATTTTATTTATTAAGGAATGGCCTGGACAGTGGAACCAGGTGAATGTTTAAGAATCCAAAAATGGGCAGGAAAGTATGTTGCCAAACACAATAATCTTACATGTGCTTTTAGACATAGGATTGATAGTTACTCAAGGAATAGGGGAGAGAGTGAGCAAATTTATTTTATTTTTTTAAGTATATTGAAAAATGAAAGGCCTGCATTTTGTAGAGGAAAATAGAAAAGAGTTCTGTGACATGAAAATAACATGTTGGGGAAGAACAAGTGGACACTCAATTTCAACGTCTCATTTGAACTTGAAGTCAGCTGAAAATACTACTCCATGTTAGCATTTTCCCATTATATTTAATTGTTATTGTTTGTTAAACGCGTATTTTGTTTGGGGACTATAGGGTGGCTAGTTTATTGTGAAGATTTCAAAACGCTGTGGGGATGAGGTGGTGCAAACTATTTTATGCTTCAGTGACTTAGAGATTGCAGCTCTTTAATACCAGTGCTGATCAAGATAACGTTTCCGGTTTTCCTTCTATAGCAGAGTGGGTGGTAGCAAGTACTACGTCCCCGTTTCCCTAAGCTGCTAACCTGACTGGGAAAAAATGATCAGAGTTTTAACTTGATGTTTAGAATCTCTCTGGGAGCAGTTCACTGTATTCAGAAAATTAGTTTTTGTTTAACTACGTGCTTATTAAAACTTCCTTTGTCATTAATGTAGCTGTTCCTTTTCGAGGAAAATCCAAATATGTCTGTCTTGCCGGTAAAATTGTTTTTTCCGGCAAAAGCAAGTAGTGAGCACTTGGAGTGAATGAAGTCTGGTTTCCTATTGTTGCTTTTGTGGTTAAATTTTGAAGCTTTTTTTCACACTGGCATTTGTAGAGGTTTTTTTTTTGTTTTGATTTTTAGCTAATATGTGCTCATACTGCAGCTTTTGCTTTAGCCGTTGAAGCCTCATCTATCCAGCTGTCTACTCTCGTGGAACTTGCAGAAACATAGCTTTGTTTCAGACCTCTGTCTCTGCAGTCGCACTTGGTTAACGCGTCATCTAAAAAGTTCTAAATGGGCAAATGCACAGCCAGCGTGATTGCATTAGCCCAGTTTCTAAAGACAGTAAGGCTTTAAAATAGCAACAGGAGGGAACAGTTCAAGCCGTCTTGATATTTTGGGTCACCATTTGGATTTAAGAATTAATACGCTTGGCACTCACATGAGGTACAGGTACAGGTGTCCAGATTAGGAATGTTATAATGAGCTATGTTTTTTATTCACCCTTGTACATCTTATGTGAATTTTGGTCATGTATCCGTCTTACTTCAGTAAGTCTTAATATTCTGACCCCAGAGGAGCGTTCAACAGCATCGAATTTTAACCAGTGTGCATAAAAACATTTTTTTGTATGCTTTCCCACTTAAAAATCGGTCTCATAAAATACTGCACGTGAGCATAGTCCAAAGATAACTTAGATCAATGCTTCTTAGCTACGCAAAGCTAAGCTATGTAATAGTTCATAGGGTGAAAAAAGAGGAACTAGTATCCAACTGGTATAAAACTCCTGTTTTTGCAGGTTTCCAGTGGGACAGTTTGAGAAGGTCCTGAGATATCATACTTGAATAACGAGGAAAAAGATAAAGGAAATTTTTTTTACATGAAAAAATATGCTTACTGTTAAAGTGCTGATGCTGACCCTCCAGAGGTAATTTGGAATAGCTGCAGTTATTGTTGCAAACCTTACCTAAAATTATCAGAATATAAAATGTTTTTTGTTTCTGCCACTATTGGTAGCAGAATTCATTCTCACTGTCAGTGATTGGATTACTGGATTTTAGCAAAGCATGAAAATAAGAATAGTTATTGGTATCTTTTCAGTGCAAATGAAAATGTCATAACAATAGCTGCATATTTTCCTTTTCCTTTAGCAAAAAACGGTCCTATTTATGATGTTGTTTGGAATCCCAATTCTGTCGAGTTTTGTGCTGTGTATGGTTTTATGCCTGCCAAAGCAACAGTTTTTAATCTGAAATGTGACCCTGTGTTTGATTTTGGAACTGGCCCTCGCAATGCTGCCTACTACAGCCCCCCCGGACACATTCTAGTACTAGCAGGATTTGGCAATCTCAGAGGACAGATGGAAGTATGGGACGTTAAGAACTACAAGCTTATTTCCAAACCAGTAGCATCGGATTCCACGTACTTTGCTTGGTGTCCTGATGGGGAACATATCGTAACAGCTACGTGTGCTCCCAGGCTACGAGTCGGGAATGGCTACAAGATATGGCATTACACGGGCTCTGTTTTACACAGCTATGAAGTTCCATCAAATGAAGAAATATGGCAGGTTTCCTGGCAACCGTTTTTGGATGGAGTATTTCCAGTGAAAGCTGTAAAATACCAGGCAGTCCCAAGTGAATTGCCAAGTCCTGAGCCACAACCCGCTCAAGCGTACAGACCTCCAGCCTTGAGAAACAAGCCTGTAACAAGTTCCAAGCTTGTAAGTAGACTGTTTCATGTATGCAGTACGTTGTTCTGTTTCATTCCTATGCCTGTCTTTGAAGTTTGGGCTCAAATATATGGATATTTTTAATGAGGGACATTAGAAGAGTGATCAGACTGGAAGGATATTGTGGGTTTCTGAGGGTTTTTTTTGATAATCTTCTTTCACTGGCTGACACTCTCCCCCCCCTATTTGCAAGAACTTTTGCTAGAAAACTGAAATTTCTTTGGTCGAAATATTATTCTTCCACAGAGCTGTTTGCAGACTTTACAACTGCGGTCTACAACGAGCACTAGAACAATGGACTGCAAACGTGGTGTACGATGAGATCGGTTACTCTGGTTAAAATATGAGCTTCAGGTCTGGGTGACCGAGCTTACCAAAGTCCAGGCCCAGTTAGATAGGTAGTTGATTCTCCTCCCAAAAGCTTTTTTCCCCTCTCACATTAGTTCAGTTTACTTGCTAGAGACAGATTTGATTGTTAGCTAGTCAGCTGCAGTCTAAACAACTTTCACATAGCGACCTACTTGTTTAATTAGATTTATTTTCTATCAGTTTTCAAAGTAGGTTGAGTGAAGCAGCTAATTACATTTAATAATTGTAGCCTTGATGTTTAAATTTAAACCATAGAGAACTTTGAACCTTGTATTTTTAAAGAAAAGATTGCTACTTGGCTTGTGAAGAATCCAATAATCATACTATTGTCTGATTTCACCAGTGATTGACAAGCAGAGGTAGTAGAGAAAAGATACATTAAATAAAAAAAAACATTCTCTTTTATGGGCAGGAAATGAAAACTGGTAGGTAGGATATGTATTTTCAGAACTATTTGTGTATAAATAAGTCAGTCTGTTAAACCAAGTATACAAATATAATTGAGCATGTTTGGGAGAGAAGTACTTTCTTTACTCCTCTATTTTTTTTTAATAAGTGATATATGGGAAAATGAATATTTCATTTATAATTCTATTTATTTTTCTTTAGAAAGCTCAGTAATACAAAGTCTGGTCTCTGCTCCAAACCTGTCATGTGTATTAGCTCTTAACTGAGGGGCAGGACCGTTTTATCCAAAAAAAGGGGAGGAGGGCAACAAAAACAACACCACTTCCCCTTAAAAGAAAAAAAAGAAGCCAACCACCAGCCATTCCTTTATTTTCACTGAGAGTTTGAGGTAAAAAGTTGTTGGCGAAAGCAAAATGCTAAGCTTCAGTCGCTGTGTGCTGTCTTGTTCCTGTTTGAATTTTGTTTCTTTGAGACGTAAAACATGATGATTCTGCTATTTTGCTGGTAATCTGTGAAGTCCTTAAAAGATGCAGGACAGTCCCCAAAAGAAAAACCTTGAGAATGGAAGGATTTGAAACACATTTCACACTGTCTCCTAATACTGAAAGGAAGGAGAAAGGGCACACACTTTACTTGTTTCCTCCTTGGATTATCTTTACATATGGTGTTGTCTCAAGTAGGTTTTGGGATTCAGTGTTAAGTCTTTTGTAACATCATGTTTGCCAACATGGAATAAAGGTTTCAAAAATGTTAATTTTGCACGTTCTGCAGCATGAGGATGAGCCACCTCAAAATATGAAACCGCAGCCAGGAAGCAGTGAAAAGCCACTCTCTAAAACAGCTCTCAAAAATCAAAGGAAACATGAAGCAAAGAAGGCTGCTAAGCAGGTACTGCAAGAGTAGTTCTTCTAAGGATAAGGTTATATTAATTTTCACAGATGTGATGATCAGTCTCAGAGCAGGGATCATTCATTGCATTGAAAGTCACCTACCCATTTTGCATGTGCTAAGTTTTGGGGAGGGTGGTACTTCTTTTAAGTAAGTCATTCTCTTGTATCTGCAGTAGTCTGATAATAAATGACAGCTGTGGCTAGTTGCTGTAAATTTGTTAGCTGAAGTGAGATGGATTGGGAAAACTGAGACCGGGAGATCTCAGTTTTTATGTTCATGTTAAGATTACATACTTTGACTTTTCGCCTTCTGAGAGCCTACACAGTTCTTTCTGGTCTTAGGTGAGAGGTGAGCACTGACTGGCTGCTTTGATGTGTCCTCACCAGCAGGCCAGGGCTGAGGCACGTTATCAGGGCAGACCAAAAAGAACCTGTTTGTTTGTTTTGCTTCAGGTCTTCGGCTGGATAGAAAAAAATAGCTTTTGGTATTAGCCTTCCAATTTTTGCAGTACTAATTTCTTAAATAAGAGCTTGGATTTTTGAATTTCTTCAAAAACAGGTTTAAGTCCTTTCTTTCGCTTTGGAGACAGTGAACCACCAGTCTACTTTTAAAAATATTTGCGAATGTGTATTTGTCTTATCATCCTTACTGGTATTTCCCTATGTTAAGTATGTTTGATGTTTTGGGGAAAAAGAAATTAAAACTCACATACCGCTTTTTTATTTGTAGATAACCCCTTTTCATAGAAACTATGTAACAGGCAACACAGTGCATCATAGGAAGTCACTTACAAATTTTGGAGAGCACCAGCAGACTAGTGGAGGAAGAAATAATAATGAATCGCTTCCAATGATTAGAGAGATTTGTCTCAATCCCTTTGTAATTTGAAGTATTTTCTGTAGGTAAAGCATTTAATAAATCTGTTTACAGGAGGCCAAAGCTGATACAAACCAGGAATCTACGCAGTCTTCAGCATCCCAAAATGCACCACGCAATGCTGTGCCTGCTGTGACATCAGGAGACCCTGAAGTAGACAAAAAGATAAAGAATTTAAAGAAGGTGAGGGTTTTTTTTAATGAACAGCTAATTTCTCTAAGAGACGGTCTTTGAGATCTAGTCTGATTGTAAGGTGACTTGAGTTCAGTGAGATAGCATTAACATAGGTAACAGATTTCCCAAATTTTGAAAAACATCTTCCTCTGCTTTTCCATCTTGTAAAATGGTAGGAGTTATCACTTACCAGGGCTCCTGAAGTCCTATCAGAGTAGCACCTAGATAGCGTAGAAGACACCAAAACCTACATGGAAAAACATTCCAGTCTCCTCTTACTTATGGATACTGTTGCCAAATGAGAGGTATAGCTTAACCGTGGTTATGCTTAGAGAGCCGCTATGTGGGCTTCTTGTTCAGGCTGTGCCTTCCCAGCTGCAGATGATCTGGGAGCCTGCTTTGGTTTGAAGCAGAACTAATTCCTTTCTTCCCCTGATCTTAAGGTTATATTTTTCCTGAGAGCTTTTGAGCAGTGTGCGATAGATCTTGAATCTGAAAAGGTGAACCATGTTATGTGATCTGAGTTTCTTCCCAAACTTTTAATGGCATGAGTGCAAAGTTTATTGCCAAGCTTGGGAATGCTTTGATTTAAATAATTTCAGGATGGAAGTTGTTTGGTCCGGGCTAGGGAATCTTTCCCATTTCTGCATAATGTATCAGGGCTTTTTCTCTTGGGCTCCTCCTGCTTTTTATATTCCTGTGTTTTGATTAATGTTCCAAGCTTTCTGAGGAACGTGTATGGAGAAGGCACATAGTGATAGTGGAGGAGTTCATTTCTGATTCTCGATCTAGCTCTTCAGTCAGATAATGCATGCTGTTCGCTTCAGAGACTAAGAAGCGTTTCTGTTCTCTGGGTTCTTCTTGTTCTTGAAAGACGTATCATTTATTGTTGGGAAAATTCTGGATTAGATGCTCAAATGAAAGGTGCATTTCCTGTTGAAAAGTGCCTCCTGGTAAATCAGGCAATTGCAAGTGAAGGGACTTCTGCAGACTGTTTTTCTGTTCTTGGTTCACCTATGTTTTTCTTTTTCACAGAAACTAAAGGCAATTGAGCAGCTGAAAGAACAAGCAGCTGCTGGCAAACAGCTAGAGAAAAACCAGGTACTGTTAAGGTGTATGCAGTTTGTTCAAGTTGGATTTTTGCCGCGGTACTTGATCCATAGTGCTTTCAGTAATGCTTCTGCTTAAAATCCTGTAAGATTATAACCCTCTCTGCATCCTTCCCATTTCAAAATCAGGTTAAGTAGAAGAAATGACCTCAAACTTGTCTCTAGAGAGGCAGGGTCCCTAGCAGCAAGTAGCTGACAGAATGCACAGAGAGCATATTTGGTGTTTGTTGAATTGATATCCTTACCTCTGTTTTTGTCCAGCAGAGTCATCAAGTGGGCATTTGTGCCATTGCCACAACTCCTGTGGGTTACGTAGAATCAAACGCTAGTATTGATCAAATAATGCCAATGTACAGTGGCTTTACTGTTGCGAGCACCCATGCGTTACTCACTCTGACATCCCTATGCGCTTCTTGCATGTGTGATCACCACTTCTAGCCTGCCGTACTCTTTGGTTCAAGCACACGTCTATGCGGTCTTTGGACTAAATGTTGTAGACACAAAGACTGATGCACAGCAGTTACCTTTGCAGTTCCTTCTCACTGTCTCCTCTCTGGGATAGAGTACCTGTCGCACAGTGTTGGTGTATACTTCCTAGCTTTGCTGGCTAATTCAGAAGTTTTCTAATAGCGATAGAAACGGTGCCTTAGGTCCCAGGTTTGCATGGCAAGGATTAGGTTTTAGTTTGGAGAAGGTTAACTGTGTGGCAGGAAAATGGGGAAGAAGGGAAACCTGAGATTAGGGCAGAGAAGTCAGGCGAATGTGAAAAACACAAGGGTCATGGAGTTTGGGGTATTTTCAGACTGAAGTCTGGGAAGCTGTGCCGAGCTGCTGTTGCATCTTTCAGTATTGCCACCAAAGGTGATACCTGCCACTGGTGGTGCTCAAATAGTTAACAGATACAAAGACCTGGCATAGTTAAGAATATTTAAGTAGCGTCAGCAAGTGGCCCGTTTTCCTCTCACCTTTACTATTTCCCACTATTTACTTAAGGAGTTACTTTGATTAAGGAATTTTTTTT